GGGGAGGGGGTAGAGTGGTGGGGGGTGTAGTGGGGGGAAAAGGAAGAGGGGAGGACAGGAGGTTGATGGGTTTGGGGGGAAATTCGTACCAGGGGGGTAAAACTGGGTTTTGCCGGCCCCTGGTGTCTGTTATCCCTGGAGTGTGATCCGTTGCTCGTACAACTGTTGTAGTTTATTAACTGTCCTTGTATGTACGGGGGTTCCACAAATGCAGGTAGGGCTTGGCGTGGTGCGTGTATGGTGTGTACGACATGCGTGGGGGATGTAACTCGTACCGTAATAAACCCGTCCCCTCCCGCAAGCGCGAACTCATAATTAACCGCCCATGCCGTACCGTGTCGTACCATTCTGGCCTGTACAGCTCACCTCGGGTACGACAAGCAGCGCCTGGCTGAGGAGGCTGCAAACCCAGTGCTGCTGGTGAAGGAAAGCGACCGCCCGGGGTCGGCTCCCACCAGGTGCGGTGCGGGGGTGCGGGGGGACAGGGGGGGAGAGGAGGGGGGGAGAGGAGGGGTAATGAAGATGTGTGTGTGTATGTGTGCGCGTGTGTCTCATAGTCGGACCGGCCCATATCAATGTAATAAGGGTAAGGAACTTTGAAACGAACCCGGAGTCCCTCACAGAGCGGAGAGCACATAGAAGGAATGTGTCGCATGTTCGGGCTCCACCCCCCCGGCCCCCTTTCCCCCGGGGGGGGGTGTCCACGTGGCGCCCACGTCTTCCAAATGCATTACGGTCACCACCACTGCCATCACCACTGTCAACACCGCTGTCACCACAATCGCCTTGTTTTTCCTTTGGAATCAATGAATTGGCTCCCGTCATTAGCATTAGCATTAGCATTAGCATCATCACCATCACCACCATCGTCCTCGTTTCTCAGGTATCTTCGTCCCGAGATGGTGCGAGTGCGACCACTGCCGTTGTACCGGGACGTGCTCTTTCAGGTGGCTCGTGGGAAGGGGGGGGGAGGGGTTTTGGGGGGGGGATAACGGCGGGAAGTGGTGTGGAATGGTTGGTGGAGTTGGGGGAGGGAAGGGGAAAGAAGGTATGGGGGAAGAACGCGCGCGGGGAGAGCTGGGGTATGTGTGTGTGGGGTTGGGGGGGATGGGGGGGATGGGGGGTTTGGGGGAAAGTGGTTTTCATGCGGGGCCCAGTACTTCTTGGCGCCACCTGGGGGCGGTGCGGTCCGGTAGCGAAATTATGGGTGGGTGTATGAGGGGGGCGGGGGGGGCGGGGGGAGAGGGCCCAACCTGGCCCAGGCGAAATAACACATTCCCGGTCCACATCTCCCCATTCGGAAATCCCGCACCCATCGGCCCTCAGCCCTTTCTTGCAATCAAACCTCCACACCGCGCCCCCTCTCTAACACACACACACACAGGCACATACACACACACACAACCTCTCTGTTTCGACCTGCTCCCGTCCCCCCTCCCCCTCCCTCTGCAGCCCCACCCGCCACAGGATGTCAGCCACTACACCGACTTTGATGAGCTGGCGCCGTTCCAACTGAAGGTGGGAAGGGCGGGTTTCGGAGCGTGGTCGGGTCGGATCCGGTCTCTCCCCTTCCCCTTTTTGGGTGACCACCACACAATCTGCCTGCCTGCCGTACTCCTTACCGCTCACCCCTTACCGCAGTCTTGCCCTCACCCTCCGTCGCTACACACCTCACTCCTCCCTCTCCTCCACCCGCCCACCCATTCTAACCCCGACACCCGCGAACCCGCAGACACCCCTGGAGTACCGCTTGCTGGGTTATAACCCGGAAGAGTTCCCCGGGCTCACCCCGTACCTCCCCCCACTGCTGGATCAACCGCTTCTGGGGGGTGCGTGTGAGGAGGTGGCGGCGGCGGGGGAGAGAATTGAACCCTCGGGTGTCGTACCGCCACTTCAGGATTTCCCGCCGCTACCCGACGCATGCAAGAACATGCCGTATATTACACTGGAGATTGGCGCGCGGTACGGCGTGGAACGCATTTTTGCAGCACCGGAGCCGTCGTACGACATGGGGTACGACATGGACTACGTCATTCAACCGCGGTTGTACGATATCTACGAGAGCGGTGCGCATGAGGCGCCCGCGTCGGGCAGTGTGCGGGCGCTGCGGGGCGGCCCTGCGCTGTCGGACACGTGGCTTGTACGGCAGGACACGTGGGCCGTACAGTTGGGTGAGGAGGTGGTGTTGCGGCTTATGTCCGGTCCGGAAGCGGAGGACCTTCCCGAGGACCTGGCGGAAGATGATGACAAACCCAAGGTAGGTATGTATGTATGTATGTATGTATGTACACATACTTCAGACTGCATCTTTATGTAGGCGATATCCCACCTTTTCCCATTTAACATGCAAACACAAAAACACACAAACACGCACGTGCACGTCCTCACCCCCCTCACCCCCCTCACACACACACACACCGCAGATCGCCCCCCAAGTCCCCACGGACGAGCAACTCGCCAGGTACCTCCCCCGCACCAGCCGGACGGAGGAAACCACCACCACCGCGGCAGCCGCGGGCCCCGCAGCCGCTACAGCATCCAAACCTGCGAGCCCGCTCGCGGCGGGGCAGGCAGCGGCAGCGACGGCAGCGGCGGCGGTGACCCAACAGCAGCTTCAGGTACGTCGCAGCGACAGGCGTGAACAGAGGTGTGGTAAAGGAGAAGGACGACGCGGCAAAGGTGCTCATGGAGGTGTCAATAGATACATACATACACACATACATACATACATACATACATACATACATACATACATACATACATACATACATACATACATACATACATACATACATACATACATACATACATACATACATACATACATACATACATACATACATACATACATACATACATACATACATACATACATACACATTTTGAGTGAAGGAAGGGGAGAGAGGTGTCGGGGGGTGGAGTCCGTCCGGGAATAGAGTCCCTACACCCCCTTTTTCTCGCCGGCTTTCATTTCTCCTCTGAATCCTAAAACCCATCCTTCCCCCGCATCCCCTCCCTCTTCTCCAATTTTCCCCCCTCCCCCCCCTCGTAGTCTCCCCCTCCCTCCACCTCATCCTCCCCAACCAAGTCCGCCGACCCGGCTGCCCCGGTCCGCTACCGGTTGGTTCGGGACCGCCACGCCGCCCAGCTGGAGGCGGCCAAACAGGAGGCCCACCTGGCTTCACTGTCCAGTTGGGAACAGAAACTGGCAGAGTACAATAACCTGCTGCGAAAGCCCTGCTACTTCGCTTTGCACCTGTGACTGACAAACAGATGGACAGACAGGCGGACAGATAGCCTGCCTGCGAATCGACGTGCCAAGCAGCCCATGGTTTTGTGACGCGACAGGGGGAGCCGCAGCGGGGGGCAGAGGGCACTTTGAGAACACCTGTGAATAGGTGCACGCACAACCTATAGCCAGATGATGCCACCAGCAGCAGCAGCAACCGCAGCTGAGGTGGCATTCTGAGGGAGGTTGCGGTTCCTGCCCTGCACCTGCATCATCTATGTGTTGGTGATGGGCGGGCGGGCGGACGGGAGAGGTTCGGGGTGTCGGTTTGCTTCCGGCGGGGTGGAGGAAGAAGAGGGGATTTGGTCCCCTTGGCTGTGAATGAAAGTGCGGTATGCGTCTGCGTGTATGTATGTATGTATGTATGTATGGTTCTGCTTCGCGCTGCTTGGCTGGTGGGGAGAAGGGTTGCGTGCGTCGTCCGGGCGGTGAAGGAGTCCACGGACCCCAGCTGGTTCAGGTCTGGCATTTCCCTTTTGTCTCCGTCTGTCTGTCTGTCTGTCCTCTGACGGGATCTATCACACGGGATCTATCCGCGGGTGTGTAGCTCTGTAGCCGGAAGCGCTTCGCAAAGCGGAGGAGAGCTGGAAAAGTACGGGTTACTGCACCCTGCTGGGAGCGATCAGCTGGGGGGGGTCCGCTATTGCTGATGAGTGCTTGCTGACCATCGATTGTCGATAGCAACGAAGCTTGTGCATGATGATGGTGAGGATGATGACGACGGTACAGCACACACTCTTTGGAAGCGGAGGAGGAGGATACTCTTTGCGGTGGTTATTGTAGCTGCTTGTTCGGGTGCGGAGCTGTCGAAACCGGCGGGAGCTACGGCGGCTGAGCCTGCAGGCTAGAGTGCGCGTGTCTGTATGTATAAAAAGCTTGTCTATCTGTCTGTCTGTCTGTCTGCATTTGTATCGAGGTAACAATCGGTGTCAGCCTGCTGTGCAGCGGGACAGAGAAGCCACAACAAACAAGTGGCTCCACGACCACTCCGTCACTCCTCATGGGGGCAGGAAGCTGCAGATGGTTTTCCTCGCCACCTCACACCGCCGGTAAAACCCGTGAGGGGTTGGAAAGGGTAGTTGGAAGTCGGCGGGTGGCTGGAGAGGGGCTTCTGCCCTCCCTCCTCCCCTCTCCCCCCTTTGTTCAAAAGTGAAACGGCCTAGTCGGGGACCTAAACCCACCCACCCACCCACCCACCCGCACAAAGGCGCCGGGCTGCAACACATGAAGGTCGTATCGCATACCCCCCTAAACCCCCCTACCCCGCATAACCCCACCTGCATCACCCTCAACACCACCATCACCGCCACCACCACCTCCCTTTACATCCACTACTTACAAGAAGAATGTCACGAACACAACACATTCACAAGCATCATTGTCACTAGCATCAGCGTCAAGGCGGCGGCAGGCCCTCCAGGATTTTGAGGTTGGGAATCCACAGCACTAGTGCCGTACATGCACTCGCCACCAGCACTCTCCGATTGGACGTCCTCAGGCAGGCGGGTATCTGGGCGTGACATTGCCACACCGCCACCTCACGACCGCTGTCGATGTGCCACACGCGAATCGCCCGGTCGTCACATCCTGCGCGCACGTATGTATGTATGTTATTACAGGGTGGTTAACTTCGCCAGCGGCCCCCTTTCCCGGGGCAGTCCCTGCTCTCCCCTGCTAGAGGGGCACCCTAATCCGTCACCCCATCCGACTTCAGAATGTATGTATGTATGTATGTATGTATGTATGTTACAGGGTGGTTAACTTCGCCAGCGGCCCCCTTTCCCGGGGCAGTCCCTGCTCTCCCCTGCTAGAGGGGCACCCTAATCCGTCACCCCATCCGACTTCAGAATGTATTCGTTGGGTTCGGCAACTCACCACCAGCATCCAACCAAATCTAGCGGATCAACGGCGCATCAACTTAGTTCCTGGTCAGCTCGCAAGTTGATATTATCACGTCCTACACCGTCCATATGATGGGGGGCCACCTCCCATTTCATCACTCCTCAAACACCCGAGGAGCCGGCAGGCGGATTTGAACCCGGGTCGACTGGGTCGACTGGGAGCAGAAGTCAGGCCTTAACCTCTGCCAGCCGCCTGCCGTATGTATGTACGTACGCATGTGTATTTGTTTGGAAGGGGGAGATGGAGGGGGAAATAGAATAACATGCAAGAGTTTAATGCAACCTCCCCTCAAGGGCAGGTGCCGCCGGGCCCTCACCCTTAAGCTAGAGAATACATACATTCACAGATACATGTACACAAATACGCACCATTCCCCCGCTCCACTTTCCTCTACCCTCGCAACCACCACTGCCCTCCCCCCGCCTCACCGGTCAGAAGGTACTGGTTGTCCGCTGTGATCGCGGCCTCCACTGCCGTACCGGTCTCCTGAATACCGTTGGCGAAGCGCTTGAACACGGTACCCTGAGGCGAGGGGCATCGTCGTGTGGTGGGGTCGTGTTTGTGTTTCTGTCTGTGTGTCATTGTGTTGGGGAGGTTGAGGAGAGGTTACCCAAGTGTATTGGGGGGGGGGGCACAGCTTAATAGGGGGCGTGGGGATAGCCGGTTATACGACACGCATTAGGGGCACGCTCCGTTCCCGTTTCCCCCCCCCCTTTAGCCACACGACGTTTCCAAAACCCATTTCGGCGGCGTCTTCGAAAACGCTGCACGTGTACAGTCTACACTGTGCCATACTCAGTCCGTACAGTATCGTATCGTACATAGTCGTACAGGGCCCTTTGAGCACACGCGCTCGCATTCACCGTCCTTCCTTGTTGGTACCTTGTAAGCGTCCAGCAAATATATTCGGCCCTCCACCACCGCCATGAGCAAGTTGCCGTTGTTCGAAAACTTGATATCCGCAAAACCCGTGGGGTTGCCCTTCTCCTCCTCCACCTGCAGGGCAGGCAGACATACATACGACCCGACAAACGGGGCAGACGGGTGATAACGCACTGAAACAGCAAACTCGATTCCATGCATACACGCATACATACATATTTTCGGTCTTATTGAAATTTACGCGTTCTATTAGAAAACACGTCTCAAAACCAAGCTGCATCATTCTGAAGGGAAGATGTATTTATGTGTGTATGTGTGTGTATGTGTGTGTATGCCGACCCATCATCCGATCACGCCATCACCCGACCACGTCAGGGGCGCTCTACTAGTAAACGCACCGTGAACGTATCAAAGGGTCCCTTGTCGTACGACCTCAAGTCGTACAGTTTGATGATGCCCGACTCCGTAGCCACCGCGAACACGAGTCCTTGCTGATCGATGGTGGCGGTCGGGTTGCCCGGGACCTGGCGCGCGTGTGTGTGTGTGGTTGTAGGTTGCAGTGTACACATACACACATACAGACAAGTGCGGAGGAGTCCGTCATGTTTGTATGTATATATGTGTGTGTGGTGGGCGGGAGGGAGGGAGGGATTGAGGGAAGGGGGAAAAGGCGAACCACGAGTGGCGGGAGAGAGGGGGAGAGGGGGGGGCGAGAGAGGACATTTTCAAGAAGCAAGAACGGATCAACTGCCGCTGTACAAAGCCACAAACCGTGCACGGTGTCATACACGGTGTCATAAAGGGGGACATTGATGATATGTAACACACGGCATGTTGCGTTATGAGCGGTTTAGGACGGCGAGGAGGGTGAGAAGGCGGTCTTGCTCCCCGCTTGGGCCCTGTGGGGCCTTCGACAGCCCTCTCGTTAGGTGCTCACCACCCCCTCACCGGCGTCCCTTGCTCCACCCGCCCCTGCTTTGGTTTGGTTGTGGACATAGCGTTCGTTTCACCTGATTGGCACCTGATTTCCCCTTCGCCCCCTTCGCTTGCCCCCCCACCCTCCTCTACATAACACACACACACACACACACATCACCACCACCACCACCACCACCTGCAGACAGCCCTGGCAAATGTTTGTCCGTACATCCCACAGCCGTACAGTCTTGTCCTGTGCCATTCAGGGTCGGAATGGGGAGAGGAGAGTTTGTAAAAAAAGGGATGTGAAGGAGTGTGCCGCTCGGCTCTTCGCAATCTGCTTAACTAGCTGCTCAAACAGCCAATTAACCAACCAACCAGCGAATAACCACAATACCATACAATAAAAGATATTACCTGCCGCAGGTATTGCTGCGGCCACCGGCTTCCAACTCTCCGCAAACCCCCCGCGTCCAAACAACCCTCCCCACCCTTTCTCCCTTTTTCCCCACATACACATATCTACCTATACACCTACAAATATACACACGAACCTGCGCCGCCGATACGAATGTGTCATTCTTGGGCGAGAAGCACAGGGAATTGACCTGCGGGGGGGATGTAAAAACGGAGGTATGTCTGTCTGTATGTATGTATGTATTGATCGACACGGATGACACATGAACCTATCCCCTACTGGTCATTGGGGGGTTTAGACTCCCCTGGCCGCCCTGGAGCGCCTCTTCCCCGTCCCCACCTAACACCATCCCCTTATTTCCCCCCCTCGCACACGCACGCGCGCCCGACATACATACACACACACCTGAAACACCCCGGCCCCACCCTCGCCCCCACTACCTCTCCCTTGCTCAAGCAGGACGGTGGGGATGAGGGGAGGCTAAGCCGGTGAGTTCCCCCTCCCCACACAAAAACACACATACATACGTACAAACACACACCTGGGCGGTATGTCCAGTGAAGTATCTCAGGTACTGATTCATGTGGAGGGAGTGGTATCGGAGCGCATGGGCCTCCGTGGGTTTGAGCTGTCCAGTGGCCTGGGCGGGCAACAGAGGGGAGAGGGAAGGGGGAGAGGGAAGGGGGAGAGGGAAGGGGGAGAGGGCGGGGGGAGAGGGCGGGGGGAGAGTGTGAGAGGAAAGAGCTCGTCGAGGTTGGGTGGAAGGGAAAGGTGAAGTACGCCAGGCAGCCAGCCAGGCAGCCAGCCAGGCAGCCAGACGGACGGACAGACAGACAGATAGGTCGATAGCCAAGGCACATGGACTGCCGGTCGCGTGACTGGTCGCGTCGGAAGACTTGTAGACATCAAGAATTGTCGGCTGGGCAGAGGGTGAGGGGCTGAGCGGGCGAGGATTAGGGCGCTAAACGCGGCTAGGAATAGGTGTGTGTGTATGTGTGTATGTGTGTGCGCGCGTATTGCGTGGAACGGGAGGGAAGGTCTCAAACAGCAAAGCCGTTCGTTCACCTTCATAACGCACGTCCCCCACGTCGCCATGGACCGAGCCAATCCCCCCCTCCCTCCCCCTCCCCCTCCCTCCCCCTCCTCCTCCATCCCCTGGAGTGAACTGGCAGCTCAGTCTGACCAGGTCCCTTCTTCCACCGCCACCGCCACTATGGCCAAGGAGGCCTTCGCGCAACTCGGTTGTGGCGGGTTCTCGGCAAGGGGGCTGTGTGGCAGCAAAAGGCCCCCCACACATATACAAACATGTCGTCGTACACACACGCACAGAGATTAGCATACGTACATACCGTACATATGCACTCAGACGAGCAAGCGCTCTCTTTCCTACCCATCCACCCACCCCACGCACAGCTCCGGAGCCGGCTCGCGGGCCACAGCACCGCAGACCCCTCCCCTCTTGGCGCCTATTCCGGTACCTTTCGAGAAGCGTAGACAATGCAGGCGGGGTCGTGTGTGAAGCACACGTTCTGAACGCCGTATTTGCGGCTGTGGAGCGTGTCCACCGGCACGCCCCGCGCGACATCGTACACGCGGATGGAATCATCATCGCTGCCCGTCACCAGCAGGTCCTCCGTCCGGCAGAAGTCCATGGAGTTTATTCGCTGGTGACCGTCCTTTAGAACGCCATCAAAGTTCCAAAGTTTCATTTGAAACGCAGGCGGCGAGTCAGCTACGAACTGGGCGCACGACAGCAGCTGATAGACCATATCATTATAAAGATTACCTTGAAGCATTTGCCCACACCCATGGACCGTAGCACTCTATCATCCAAAGCTAACTGCTGGCCCATTTTTGGACGCTCTCCCGATTCTCCTGATCGACTTCCAAGTGCTGCTTAGCTTTGAAACATATTTACGAAAGGGAATTTCCCCAAAACCTGCAGTTGGATAACGTGTTCGGTCCTCCTAACGCTTGCGTGAATGTTACGACGCAAATTGTTGGCCCAACATCCTGGCCAACTCAGCTTTTAACCATTTGTTATGCATATCGCCTTTCTTCGTCCACCCCGATGGTGTTGGCGCTATTGCTAGCCTGCTCCGTGCCACAGACAGTTGCCTGAAAGGTACCGGCCACAACCACCAGAAGTCGTTAACGGCATTGTTTATGATTTGTGATATGGTCACAAATGCAAGTAGATTCACACATCGATACTGTCTCTCATCTATCCTTCCTTATGGCGCTGTTTGGGTGGTAAGGAAGACCTGCAAACTGAAAACCAAGGACAAATTGCTGTTCGAATTTCCCTTCATTACAACGAGGCGAAGGGTCAGGGCATATTATGTTTGTCCTGTCCAGTGTCAGGGCTCCTATGCCTTACGAGTACTGTACTTCAACTTTACGGGTAGAGTCCAGCCCAGTGTAGTGCCCTGCATCCCAATGTCATCCCATGCATCATACATGGCCTCAACATCATCATCATCACCACCACACTCAAGTGTGGCCATTGGCATTCATCACCTCCTCCGACCCCTGCTGCCCTATGTTGTTGTATCACGTCTTTTCGCAGGAAAGAACCGAACCGGCGGATGACAGATCCCGTGATACCCAGGATGCTACACCTTTTCACCTGTCTCGAACGACGGGCTTTACAAACAAACCCTCCCCATTTATGGACGCATCAATATACAACAAACAGCTAAAGAAGCGCAAAATCGTCACCTAACATTCTGTACGACAGCTGCGTGCGTGCCTGTCAGTGTCCAAACGGTTTAGGAGAATGCCGCATGAAAAACGGGCCGCTGGTGAATGAGCCACCCAAAAATGACAACTTGTGCCCCGCGCACACCTAACAAAGCTTGACAGGAGGAAAGCGGGCAAGAACGGACAAGACCCGAAACGCGAAACTTCGAACGTAAAAGATTTTACATCCACAACCAACACCTATGAAGACATGCACCCTATCCAGGTGCTAACGCTACTGCTGCTGCTGCCTTTCATACAGCTGTTGTTGCTACAATTAAAACCGTCGCCATAAGTTGTACCAAAGGAAAAAAAGAAGGTAAAAATGCTGTGGCGCATCCGTAAGCACTCCCCCCCATATATATGTATGTGTGCGTGTGTGTGTTACATGGTTGGGGGTGCGTGACCCCATACCTGTAAGACTACCCATACGAGCCGAAGGCCCTATGTATGTAAACACGTACACGTCGGGCAGCACTCAAGGAACACCACCCAGTCGCTCACGTATGCCTCTTCCAATGCCGCAAACCGCAACCACCATCACAACTCCACCCACCATCGCCATCCTACCGCAAACGCCATTATACCATCAAGCATTTCGCTGACGAGACGGAAAACCTAAGCAGGCTTTCCGACTCGTTTAGATCTTCCCCCTTTGCTTTGTCGATTGCGTGCTGCTGGTCAAAGGCATCTACCTCCTTTCTCTGATACAGATATACATACATTATATAATAATTAGAAAACCCGCCAGATTTACAGATGCAATAACAAAGCCCCGGGGTCCCTTCAGTATAACATAGCAAAACAAAAAAGTGCCCCTGCTGGGGACACTGCTTGACACCCCAAATACGACCCACCTCTCACACGCACACAGCCCCTCTGCAATACTGCCCGGCGATATATTATAAAATCACACACATATACCAATGCGCAAACACGTCCCTAGCATAGCCAGTGTCTCTGTCGCCATAATATACATCTATATGATATCTATATATATAATATTTTTTCATCATCAACACCTAAACACACATCCAGACACGATGCTGCTGCGAATACAAGAACGACGTTTGTTAATCCATGCTTCCGCAAAAAAAAGCCACAGGGAGATATTTTTCAACAAAATATCTATCTCAACGCATGCTCAACTATGTAAATACGTACTACACACGAAGAGACGAGACGCCGAACAAGAAGGGCCGGCCACGCAAACAAAATCTAAAACATCACGGAACAGATATTTACAGAGCGGCCTGCAGCGTAAAAACCTTAAGCCCGACCCGCCGCCGCGGCCGCCTGTCGCACCCCATAATAGTCCATAACAGGTAATAATAATAATATATACATATACTTACTTTCGGGACTTGATTGTTTGCTCCAAGCGCTCCCTGCACAGCTCCAAGACGTGTCTCCACACACACACACGCAGTCCCCCCAAGGGCATTGGGGTGTTCAGGGAACAACCCTACACTGCGTGCTTTCAGCAGAGCGGTCATTACGCGTCTGTTCCGTCAAAAGCAACAAACAAAACACCAAAAAACAGCAAACAGACGTACGTATACACAAATTTAAATCGCACTGCCCTGATAAACAACGGGACATGATACACGGGCTGGGTACATGCCCCCCGACATGCCTCACCTCAAACCACCCACTCACAAGCTGCCGTACGTCACAGCTGTGAAAAGGAGCTGCGATAGGCGACAAGGTAACAACCGTCTCCTTCACTCCACTTCCATTTGGATGGAACACAACACACTTGCACCCACCATCAAGGGGCGACGGCAACAACGATGACCACGCAACATTGCGGGGCAGGTAAACGCCTCCGTTGCTTAGTTTAAAATCACACACCAGGCAAGGAAGGAGAAGGGGGCGCGCCAAAACAAGACGATGGGAGCTTCGCTTTCGCTCTGCCGTCGGCAGATTTGCAACAGAGAAGAGCCGACGGATGCCGTTGCCACGTCACGCACACCCGCAGCAACAGCAATCTCAACAATCTCAGCGGCCGCAGCAACACCGCCACCGTAGCGGCGCCGTACATGCAGGAAGTAAAACTGTACGACACGTTTCAATCGTGCACTACATGACAATGCAGCAGCACGGACCATCCGGTGGGTTTGCCCCCGGTGCTTCCGGCGGCTGTGCCGCGGCCGCTGACGCCGCCGCCCCCCCCAAGCCGCCCACCGCACCCGCCGCTGCCTTCTGCGCGCTTGACACCACTCCAGCAACTTGCAGCTTGACGTCATCCACCTTCGATGTTGCTGCCACCGCCGCCGCCGTCGCACTTTCTTGCACATCCGCTGCAATCTCTGAAGCTCTCGACACTGCCGCTTTGGCTTGTGCCGTTGCCGCCGCCTGCGCCTCCGTTGCTGCCGCCGCTGCCGTCGCCTGCGCCTTCGTGGACGCCGCCGCTGCCGCCGCCTGCGCCTTCGTGGCCGCTGCCGCTGCCGCCGCCTGCGCCTCCGCGGCCGCCGCCGCTGCCGCTGCCTGCGCCTCCGAGGCCGCTGCCGCCGCCGTCGCCTGCGCCTCCGTTGCTGCCGCCGCTGCCGCCGCCTGCGCCTCCGTTGCTGCCGCCGCTGCCGCCGCCTGCGCCTCCGCTGCCGCTGCCGCCGCCGTCGCCTGCGCCTCCATTGCTGCCGCCGCTGCCGCCGCCTGCGCCTCCGAGGCCGCTGCCGCTGCCACCGCCTGCGCCTCCGAGGCCGCCGCCGCTGCTCGAGATTGCGCCTCGGCCGCGGCTGCCTGTCCCTCCGCCACCTTCGCCGCCGCCACCTTGGCTGCCTCCGCCGTCGCCTCCTGCGCCGCCGCTGCCTTCTCCTGCCCATTCGCCAGAGCCCCAGCAACGGCCTCCTGCGCCGCCGCCGCCTTCTCTTGTGCAGCCACCGCCACCTCCGCCGCCGCCGTCTGTGCCTGCGCCACCGCCGCCGCGGCAGCTTCTTCCGCCTGACCTGTCGCCGCCGCCGCAGCATCGTGCGCCTCTGCTGCGATGTTTGACGCCACCTGCTGATCCCGACGTTTCACGTCCGGCGCACACAACGGATCCAGGTCGCATCAGAGCTCAGGTCAAAAGATAGTCAGCCATGACGAGAATGATATTAGACGTGTAATACCAGCACCACACTAACACCAGTACGACACCAACACCAATGCCAAGATGCCAAGTGCAGTACAATGAGGGCGTCTGACGTAACGTCTGTTTTGTGGTGCACGGTAAATAATGCCCGAGGCGGCGATCGGTCCAAAAGAAATCCTAGGGTTTTAACTTCACCAGTACCTGCCAACCCACTGCAAGAAATAATTTTTTGCGCCAATAACTACCGATCAAAAGAATCAAGGATCAAAAGTTTTTTAAGGAAAGCGTAAGGCCCATGCGTCGGCATCATCATCGCAATCGCAAGCTGAGCTACAAGTGGACCCCACAAACGGTGTAATACTGTAATTTAGATGCATTAGATGCCCCACATTGGAATGATTGGAAAAGGTAACAACTGACCCAACGTACCTTCTCCGCCTTTGCATGCGCCGTCGCAACAGCTGCCAATGCTGATGCCTGCGCCGCTTCTGCCTTCACCGCAGCTGCCGCCTCCACCTCCGTCGCCTTTGCCGTCACCGCGTCCTGTGCCGCCGTCACCTTCTCCAAAGCTACCGCCTGCGCCGCCACCACCTTTGCCTCCGCCGCCTCCGTCGCCGCGGCCGCGTCTGCTTGTGCCGCCGTCACCTTCTCCACCGCCGCCGCCGTCGCGTCCGCCAATTTAGCTTCAGCAGCATTTTGTACCGCCGCCACTTTCGCCTCCGCCGCGTCAACCGCTTGGGACGCCGTCGCTGCCGTACTTGCCGCCGCCTCCGCCGCAGCTTGCTGCACCTCCAGTACCTTTCCTCTGGCGGCCTCAGCTGCGCCGTTAACCGCCGTCTGCACGGTCTCCGCAGCTTCTGCCGCCTCCGCCGCGGCATTCCCCACCGCAGCGGCTGCGACCTCATGCACCTCCGATACGCCGTTCGCGACAGTCGCCGCTGCGGCGTCAGCGCTGGCCTCCGCCGCCGCCGTGGCGGCAGCGACGCCATCCTCCACTGCAATCAGGCCGTCCTTGACCATTCTGTATCACACAGGAATGACCGGTAACGGTCAACGACCAACAGTTAGCGATTACGTAACGGCGTTAAATTGAGAAGATATCAACTGCGTGAACATCACACGGGGTGAATTCAAGTTTACAAAGGCAAAGATGAAAGGAATATGCCGGCGGAGAGAGAGTGGAAGCTGAAAGATGGAAACAATTATCAGGCCCGGCCAGATCTTGAGCACCGTGTACTTCTTGTTGTTCTAAAGGGTGATGGGTTGTAAGCGTGTGTGTACATGTGTGTACATCTGTGCATGTGTTTATGTCCATGTGGGGGGAAAGGGGGGAATGTTGAGATAGTATCGCGGTTTGTACTTTTTCAGATAGGCCTTGGAAAAGCACTCGTGCGCGGTACGTGGGTTCCAAGGTCACGGCTGTGGGTCAGTACGGCTCACCGCCTCTTGATGAGAGCCTCTACGACAAGTGCCAGCTTGTCGTACTGCCTCGTCTTGGAGGCCCAGGCGGTTGGAATGGACGACGCACCGCCCTACACAGAGAATGGGGGGTGCGGGTGCGGGGGGGGGAGAGATGTGGGGGCGAGACGTACGACAGGTGCAAAGGTAGGCAGGTTGGGAAATTAGGTTGGGGTGAAGCAGCATGGGAATAAGGGAGGATGCGGGCATCGTACTGCTCTGGCCATTTCCGTACCGCCGTACTGTCGTACCTTGGCCGCCAGGAGCGCCCCCACCAGGATGGCTCGTGAGCAATTGTCCCCTCCCAGCAGCAAGTTGTGTCGTACACCGGCCTGGAAGTCAGGAGCCTGCAAACGGGAAGAAAGGGTTTTAGGGCTTTCGGCTTTAAAAACATACATACATACATACATACAACGCATACGCGCACCACCCCCTACCTGCAGCGCCACCAGCAGGGCCGCCTTCAGACACCCCGGGTTGCCGCAACCCGCACGCCAGGGACCAAACTGAACATCAGGACCCTCCTGGTACATCAAGCCTGTGTACGGCAGCGGTACGGCAGGGCGTACGACAGTAGAGTTAACATTCCTCACAGCACCGCGCGCTCAAGAGCATGGAGGACGTGTTTTTGTATTGGCACGCGCTCCTTTCCTCCAACTGTAGCCACCGGAGCAATCCAGTCTTTTCACATTTGCGTCAATCCCCCAAGTTTAGCGAGCGGTGGTGGAAGGGCAAGCGGACCACCCCGCCCCCGCCCCCGCCCCCGCCCCCGGCCCCGCCCTCCCCCCCCACACAGACCCGTTCATCAGAGTGCATCCCTTTTTTATCCATGTCCTCCAACCCTTTTCCATCCGCACGGAACCCTTGTCAACCAACCTTTAATAACAAATCGCCCTCCTCCTCCCCCTGAAACTTTGGGCGTCAGCCGGAAGTTGTTGTTTCTCTCCTTGACTTAATTGTCTAATTCCCCCGCTCTCCCGCTCCCCGCAGCCGCCCGGCAAAAAAGGTGACTCTCCACCCACCACCCCAAAACACATACGCACACACACACGTGTCACTGATACTCACTGCGAGGGTCCACATCTTTGTTCGCCAGCACCTCCTGTACGGCATCACGGGCCTTGGACGACTCACTCAACCCGCCCTCAGGTCCCAACAGCCAGAGGAGGGCAGCCTCCACAGAGTCCCCCTGATGCGACGTGTGTGTTTTGGGGGTGGAGACACGCGGGAGGGGGGAAAGGGGGAGGGGGGGAAAGACGAACCACAGGGGGGGAGGGGCGGGGTGCAAACATCATCCCATGGACGGGGCTTGGCAAGGCCCGATGCTTCTGCTTTGTGAGCGCCCACGTAAGGCCCTGGAAGCATCGTGGATTACTACAATTCGCTAGTACATACATACATTAGGGTGCCCCTCTCGCAGGGGAGAGCAGGGACGGCCTCGGGAAAGGGGGCCGCTGGTGAAGCTTAACCACCCTGTAACGACATACATACATTTTACACATACACACCCAGACTGTCATCGTGGCCGGCTCAGATCATTAAAACACACAGTGTGCCATCTGTGTGCATGTGTATGTGTGGTGTAAGTATGCGCCACCCTCTCGCCAGTCCCCGCACATACACTCGTACACATGCAAATACAAACGCACAACATGCGCATACAGACATACACACGCACGACAAACACGCACGACACGTCGCCTTACCGAGGTAATCACCCGCTCCAACACCCGGGCCGCAGCCCAGGCCAACTCCACCGCCGTGTCGTTGTTCTGCTGGGCCCGTACCGCCACGTCAACTGCCGTACGCAGCGCAACCCCCCCGTCACCCACACCGCCAAACAGGGCCACCACAGCGGGCGACTTGACAAAGCAATTGGCCTAACAGACATAAGGGGTATTGGGCGGGCATTTGGACGAGATGTACGACAGGGATACTAACAAGTATTAGGGGTATTAGTGGGTGCGGGTTGCGGGGGGAAAGACGAACCACACACGAGTGAAGCTGCTGCCAGGGCAAGAGTGTACCAGACGTAGAACTGACCGAAAGGCGTCCGTGAAGACCGCGACCTCGGGTTGCGGGGGGGGTATGTAATAGGTCAACAAATGGGAAGTGCAATACTAAAACAGCTGTGTATGTGAGGGGGCTGTGCTGTTGCTGGCAAGAAACATACACCTCCCCGGTATGATGGCAACCCCCCTCACACCCCGTCACACCCCCACACAGCAGCTCAGATGTGATTCCACACGCGGCGTTTTCCGTAGTCGCGATATTTCCCTCCATCCGCGTCATCCCCCCCCTTTACCCCCCCCCCTCTATCCCCGCCACACACACCCCTCTATCCCGGCCAACCCCCCCACCCGCCACTCAAACACACAAACACGTAAATCGTCTGTGCTTCGCCATACCCCTCTCCCCCCCACTCACACACACACCTGGGAATCCAGCGCATCCCCGCACTCAGGCCAGGTCCTGCCGCCCTCCAGCACAGCGTCCCGCATCGACTTGGCGCTGTGGTTCATGTAGGCGAGCGGGGGGTCCGTGGTCGCGAAGTACTCCGCAAAAAACTGCACCGCCCGGAGATACATTACAGTTGGCAGTTAGCAGTTAATTGATGGCAGTTAATCGCCCTATGCGCCGTACACACCGCCCGTCTGACCCACATCAAATTCCACCATAGGGGGAAGCTGATGTACTGCTGTACTGCTGTTGAGCCCCCTGACAAAGCTCTTAGGTCACCTGATCCCCTCTCCTTGTGCTCCTGTGCTGCTGAGCTGCTGAGCTGCACAGCGAGGTGTTCATTTCGAGCTCCTCCTGAACACCCCCGGTCATCCCCCAACAAACCAAAACCAAGACAGGGTGGAGGGCCGCTCTGGGGGAACCATTTGAGCAGATTTTGGTAAGGACAGTTACTGCTGATATTTACCATCCTGTATCAAACAAGCTCACGACTCTGTGTTTTTGAGTCCGTGGTGCTGCTTTGCATGAACCCCCCGACCCCAAACATGTATCATTACCAACCCCCTGACCCACATTGATGCTTCACGTACTTTATATCTGGGACCCATATGTTTTTTCCCCGTGACCCACATCGCCGCTTTAATGCCGCTCGGCATGTCGTGTGTGCTTCGGTGGTTCGGAACCAGGAAGCGAGGAGAGATTGTCGCTACCGTGTTTCCCCCCTTTACTTTCGAGTACTTTCCCCTCTTCCCCCATTTCTCCCCCCCTTCATTATTTCGCCCCTCGCATAAGTTAAACTACTTGACAGAGTCCCTTACTCTTTTATCATAAATTTTACTTCCCACGTCTCATTTCCCCAGATCCCGCGTGCCATGTACCTGTGCCCATGCTTGAGGCTCGCAACTACCGGTCGCGGCCAGAAATTTAACCAGCGGGAGGAGCTCCTGTCCATATGGCGAGAGGTCGCCGACTTCGCAGGTGTAGAACGGACACGATGGTGGATCAAAGAACTCCGGCTCGGATGTGCGGTCTACCGGCTTGGTCAGCGTCTCCCGGAGTATATTCCGATTGTAAATCCACTGCACGATTGCATCATAAGGGATTTGGGCATTGCCTGAGCTCGCGCGCACAAACTCTGTCAGGGACAACCTGTATAATAAGAGTTTTCTGCTTAATGTGTCTGCAGCCATGAGGAAGCGCGGGCACCTGACTGACCATAATAATGAGGTAATCGATCATCGAATATGTCCAGCGTAACAAGCCATCAGCAGCGCGATATGACGCCTTGCGTGTCATGGCGTGCGGCCCTTCCCGATGCTATCCAGATTTTGGCCGTGCACATCCCTCCACCATAAAAGATCGCTCGAGTGAGTATCTTCTTCCAGCTGGCAGATGTTTCAATTCGTCATATCCTGGCCAAGCCCTTTGATTGCGAACCTGATGGTCACTTCCGGGACTTGCATAGTAAGGGTCATCCCGGTACTGCCCACTTACATGAAGCGAAGATGTCGCTGCATCGGCAACGAAGGATCCCAGCAGAGCCGCTCGAGCTCGCCCCAGGTATTCACCCATTGTGCTTTTCAATAGTCCCTAGATTATGATGTTGAGACAATCCCCAAAAGGTAAAACGGTAAAACAAACAAGATGATTCGGCTCCCTAGAGGAAAGGGTTAACACTTGAGGGAAATTGCCGTGCAGCCACCACTGCAAAAGTGCGACACTGATACTATACGCTTCTCAGTTCTGCTTGTATGTGTCTCAAGGCATCAACCGGATCGCTTTCGATTGTTAAAGGGGACAATGATTTTTGCTGTTTGGTCTAGGTAGCGACGCTCTGCTCAGTACAGGGGCCTACGATGGCCGTACGTGTTTACCTCCAAACCAAAACCGTTGTAAATCATAACGGAAACAGATAAACTCGCTATTGTCTGTGGGTGCACCATGTAGCACCGGGCACCGGGCAACGCTGGCAATCGTAAGGGGCTTGGGCTACTTAAGTTTTTATAGCAGTTGCGAAATCAGAACATCAACACGGAAACAGGGGCAAAATTTTCCTTCGATTTAGGCCTCGACAAAAAAACAGTTACCCTGCAGCACCACGGACGAGAAGGATACCTGTTGTCTCTGCCAGAGGCGTTTGCACAGTTTTAAGTGCATCTGCAGGGGTAAAAGAACACGCGGTGAAAACCAAGGACGCGTGCCCAGCTCTTAAACTTAAACCAGTCCTAAACGAAGGTGTACGGATTGCACAAAGCCCCACAAAGGCCCACCAATACCACATAAAGCCCCCATCCTTGGCGCATTTTGCCACGTATGCTGCCAGAAATGCCTGCCAAATGCATCGCAGCTACATCTACAAGTTCCGCACAAAAGCGAGGTACATCCGTAAGAGCCGGGCGGGCCTACAGTTAAAGACGACGGCGGAATCCTGACCGGGACGAGCTGGGATCGGCGGCGCAGGACGACGCGCACATGTGCGCATTCACGCAGTATCTTATTGGGTCCGTGTCCAACCTGTACTGACCACCACCACCACCAAGACGCTGCGTTCTAGCAGGTTCTAGCGATCGCGCCTCTAAGTCAACAAGAACCCATTCAGTGATGGATAGTGTATACGCGTGGAAGGGTGAAGCGCGAAATGCGCTTGGATGCAGGAGCTCGGTGCAGAGTCCAGTACTGCAAAAACATTGTTTACCCAAAGGGCAATGTCGCCCTTGGACGTATTTGGTGCAGCAGGTCCTTCACACGATCAATTCTGTTCGAGTTCGCAGCAGTTATATCGCTGCATCAGGGGGAAATCTCCCCTGTGCTGCATTCACCATCACGGTATTGTTCATCTACTATGAATATAACCCCCAGAATGATCTTGTGTATTGTGCTTGTCGTCTTTGCGCCACAGGACTGCAGGCACACGACCAGGAGGGAGACATCCACGAGCTCCTCGACTCGCCGCGCTATCGTTTTTGTACCCAGCTTGGAAAAGACTCATGGCATGTACTATACAGGAAGGCTTTTGTGGATTGGAGGCTGTGGCAGGGAGGCTACCGTGAGCTGAATTGCAGCCTCTCTGCGGCCGCGCCCTGCGATACGTGACAAGATAGATAACAACTCAGCACACAGTATATCCAATTAACCAAATCCTTTAGAGCTGCTAGGAAGGTTTGTGAGCCAAGTCGTTTCCGGCCTGTCTACATGTGAGAATACCGACATAGGGGCAGAAATGCATTGTGTTATGTTAATATTTTCCATCTATCCATGCCTGGATATCCACATGTTTGATCTCGAACCGCTGAGCTCTGACAGATTTCTCAGTCCGGTACGAACGACTTCATACTAACCAAAGCGGACGATTGTAACTGTCGTGTACCATGACGAACCTCCTACATGGTCAATTTGCAATTAAACGACAAGTATAATACTAAGCAACATTTTTGAGTATCACCTCTTGTCAGTTTTCCGACCAAAGGATTTCTGCAGCTACAAATGTCTCCCGGGATTCATGACTGCCACGATCCTATTGTCGATGTCAGCGCCAATGGCTTCAATATGACGTCTACATTTTATACTTTGACTCAGTTTCCTCACAGCGCACTTGCAGCGATGGTACGCTGGAGGCAATCGATGGGATTCCACACTCCGTTACAGTTGCGATGCCGACCAGAAGTCGCTATGACGCTTTTAAACTGGCTCTCCATACGTTACTTCTATCGCAATACCGAAGATTTGCTAGGGCAATATTTAAAGGTAAGAGCAATCATGGAACCCAGCCCGACATAGCAATACCGTTCGCTCCCACTGTAACAACCACACACAAAAAATACCGTTCGCTCACTTCGACAAGTGAAAAGATTTGTTTTCCTCCTGCTATTTAATTTCTTATACTTATAAAGATGCCGCCCAAAAAAGATCGTCAAGGAAGGCCTCGGGCGCTGACGGGACTATGAGCAAACCTTGAGTCCAACGGCGCCTCGCAGCAGCTCCTAACCAAGGCTTAGAAGTTTCGATTTCATTTCTCCAAGCCATATTCAAGAAATAATAACTTATTGCGTCAACACACATCTGTTGTCCTGTCCGTCCTTCTTGTGCTCATAATGATTCGTCAGAGTCCATGCGAACGGTTGGAAATCCGGTCAACCACTAGACTGCAGAAGCTTTTCATTGCCTTCGGACCTGGCCACAACCTGAACCAGCGTGGCGTAAATCCCCTTACTTTTCTGAAATCCAAATTGCAACAACATATAACCCGTAGATGATCTCATATAAAGGACCCTCATGCACTCATGTCCTTTGAAGACGAACTCAGCATTGAAAAGGAGGACAGTCTGAGACACCAAAGACATAACTCCATTCCCCTGACGTACAGGAAAATATCGAACATGATAACTGGAGCCGGGTGGCGGACGGGGTTGGCGATGCAGGGCCCGCGGATTGCAGCTGTGACGACGTGAACAGCGACGGCGCTACCATCAGCCGCAGCAGCAGTAGCCTCGGCAACAGCTACGATGGAAGCGGATACACGAGTCCCAGATCTGCGATTTCCAGCGCAATGGAGGAAGAAGGGCACGGCAGTCTCTCTGGCAGCGCCGCCACCACCGCCACAACCATCCAGGCGGCAAAGGCTACTACAGGCTCTTACAGGGTTGACCGCGGCGAGTCTGCGACAGCATATGCCGCCGCCGGCGGAGCCGCTCCGCCGCCAGCAGCCCACAACGCCGCTCCGCTGCGGCCATGTGGCCTGTTGTACGACCCGCCGTTTCCGCAGCTGCCGCCGCGGCTGCAGGCCGAGATGGACGCGCTGCTGGATTACCTCGGCCTGGCGGCGGAGGTGTACGGCAGCCTGCCTCACGTGCGTTGTACGGACCTGCCATCGTTAATGTTACGCCATAGCGTGACGCTCCTGTTTAACTACCGCTCTAAGCCAGACGTGCTTCTGCTTGACGGCCGCCAACTCCAGTTGACGGCACGAGGGTACTCGCAAGCATCCGCGCTGCTGGCTGCCGTACAGCCGCGACCGTCGGAGGCAGTGGTGGCGGCGTTGCCGTCGCCCCTGCCGAAGCGGATTTGGAAAGTCCGCTTGAACCTCCGTCGCATGGAGCCACTGTGCGTCGCTGCAGGGCGTGGCGTCAGCAGCAGCGGCGGCAGCGGAGTGCGTACGGCAGCGGCGGATTGCCGGCCAGATACCAGTCTCGGTGTGCTGCTTGTGCACGTGGAGGATGAGAGGGGCGGCGGTCAGCACCGACCCCGCTTCCCCTGCTCCTCTATTGCTGGTAGCACTGCCGCCGCCGCCGCCGTTCCCGTCATCAGCCTAGCGGAGGCGGCTACGTGGGCTGGACCACTTCCCTTGCTGGCCGCCGCCATGCCGTCCGCTGCGCCGGGAAAGGGCGCCGCCGCGGCCGCCAGCGGCGGCGGCAGTGGGCGCTCCTCCTTGTACCTGCCTGGCTTCTTTGGCTGGCATATTGCGGGTCTGGCGAAGGGCTACAACGACGGCGGTGATGGCGGCACCACCACCCTCACACGCGTGGCGATGGCGGCGCAACAAGAACGACAACAACGGCAACCACGGAATGAAGCATCGCAGAGCTCCCAGCCTTGCGGCAACGGCTCCGATGACGGAGGTGCCTGCGACGGAGGCGGCAGCGGCGGCGGCGGCGGCGGCGGCGGCGGCGGCTTGTTCTTCGGGGATGGCGACGTGCTGCTGTTCGGTCTAGAATTGAAGACGCGACAGCTAGAGCTGTATCACCGCCGCCTAGGCCAGTCGTACAGCATCAGGTTGCCGCCGGGTCCGCCTGCGGGAGTACGGGAGGTGCTGTACGCGCACGTGTGCATGTACGACAGGGGTGAGGGGCTGGAAGTGCTGGATCTGGATTTGGGGGATTTGGAAGTCATGGGTTGCATTTGAGCTCCTTGGTCTGGTGGCCCTGGGGGGTTCCCAGGAGGGAGAACCGTTGTCGTTGTCTGTTTGTTAGTTGATGTTACAGTTGTCAGCGGACGTTGATCAAAAGGACGACGTGGCAGCGTTTGCTCCTCGGCGAGCACGGGTCGGGTAGTGAGATAGGAAGGGCTCGGTGCGGGACGTTTACATGGAAGTCTCAAAGTATATCGATCGAGATACCCCTTGCTGCGTTGCACAGTTTCTGTGATACGAGTGGGTTTTTTAGTGGGCCTTACGCCATTATGCATCGCTGCCAAGCAGCTAGCGGGCTGCGGCCTACTGTCCCCCTTCGGTTTCCCCAGGATACTGAAAGATGTGTGTGTATGTGTACGTGTGTGTATGTATGTGTGTACGTGTTTTACATCTTACGTGGTTGGGGCGTGTGTGACCCCATACCTGTAGAACTACCCATACCCTAGCCGAAGGCCCAAGGGCAAGACCTGAACGCCTAAAAATACTGTGCTAGCAAGAGAACAGAAAACTATCGCCCAAAGGAGCTGTGTAACATCATCATTGTGTAACGGCTGCAACAATGGAGGGAGTCCACCCGGCCAAAGAAAAAATACGTGTTGTTGTTCAGCATAACGACTGCAGGTAGGGAAAAAGGGTTTTCCTTCCGGCCTCATACGATACCTCTGTGAAATCAGGTCGTGCATTTCTCTTCCCTCACATACGGTACGATACGAGGGTGCACGTACTGCCCTCGTGGAAGGGCGGGTGGGTTAAATCATGTAGGAGAGGAAACGTGCCCCACCTCACTTGGCTACCCGCAGCCCTACTCACACGTTCCAGATAGAGGTATATGAGTGTTGTTGTCATTCTACAGCAAACCTGGAAGAGAGACGAGCGGGCTCCGGCGTCATGGAAGGACGTGGAGGTGTCATGGATATGTTCGGACAATGTTGTGTCCCGGAATGTGCGTCGGAAGGACTCTCGGGGTTTCTCTCTCTGTGTACGTGTGCACGTGTGTGTGTTTAGGTATTTGTGTGTATTGTGCGTGTTTTGGAAGAACGGAAGTGAGGCAGCGGACGGGCGCAGGATGTGGAACACCAGGCTGCTCCTTAGCTGTGCCCAAACCTCATAGTGACATGATCGGCGCCGTCAAGGCGCAGTCCTGTAGCAGCAAGAGAGGCACTGCAATTTGGCAACGGCTGCGAATTGCTGACAAACAGCGAACATAACGGCAAGCGTGAGAGAACAGGCACAGGTCATCCATTTAGCTGATTACAAGTTAATTACTATTTAATAAACTGGAAGAAAAGGGAAACATATCTTGTCTGAGGGATCCAGGCGGAGGCCAAGGTACAGCTTTGCCATCCTGAAACATTGGAAGTTATGTAGTCCTATAGATCACAGAAGAGCTCGTAAACTAATACTTTAACAGATGTAGTTATGCAATTTGACCCAACCCAAAAATGACCTAAGAAACGTTCCGAAGTGGGTTGCAGGTGGTTGATTCGGTTTCGTATCGGGAGGTCGCGACTTGTGAACGCCATGGGATTTATCTACCTACAAATAACGTCATAAACTATTTGTGTAAATTGTGAGTATATCCCGTTGTTGCTGATCGTTTTGCTTGCTCTTCTGATCCTGCTTTGCGTTGGTGTGGACGGTTTGGGTCGAGTCCAAAGCCATCTAACAACCGTATGCAGCATCTTTACAATTTCCAATAGCTCTACGCGTGTTGATGCTGCAGCGGGCTGTCGTGTCCCTGCCGTCGTACAGCAGTTGTATCAGGAAGCTATCAATAATCCAACAAATTGTCCATATCTTGTGCCGTTGCAAGGCTTTACCAAATCTGCACTCTCCGCGTTGTTGCAGGTTGAGCTTGAGCTCGTTATTATAGCTTTTTGAGCAGATCTCCACGGTTTGCTAGGGACCGCAACCCATCAGGGGCCACGATGGCAACTGGCTGGTTACGTGGCGTTGTGAAGGAGGTCGTGTCCGGCGACACGTTGGTGATTGCGGGCACCACGAAGGGACCAGGCCCCGCGCCGGAGAAGCGCATTACGCTGTCGTCGCTCATTGCGCCGAAGCTGGTGAGCAGGGGCGTTGTACTTAGTACTTATGAAATCATGTAAATCGAAATGTTGAGCGGTTAAGTCGCACCTTATGTATCGGGCCTTCCTCGCACTTGATCTGACAACCGTCCGTGCTGCACCCTGACGCCACAGGGCAAGCGTGATGGCAGCAGCAAGGATGAGCCTTTCGCCTGGGATTCCCGCGAGTTTTTGCGCAAGAAGTGCATCGGCCAGGTATTGTGGAGGACATAGCATTCGACACCATTTCCAAGGCTGCCCTTACTCGGTCACAGCCCGAAGTTCCCATCAGAGGGCTTGCACATCCTCTTCCAATCAAATACTAGCTATGTCTTCGCGCTTTTAGTTGTTCCGTTTGATCAGGTTTGACCTTCTGCCCCTGCTCCGGACAAAGGAGCGCATGGATGGATGGACGCTGAGCTGCCTGCCTGCCTGCTTGCCTCTGTGCTGATACGGGGCGCCTTTGCCACACAGCTGTCACGTGCAAATCTCACAAAGCTAAACTAAAAAAATTTCTCCTTGTACATAAACACATTGACTTTGATTCCTATCTCCATTTCCTTTCCCTCTAAGTTCTTTCGCCACCTTTCCCTTCCCCCTCCATCCATCCAACGTTCCCCTACAGCCGTGTGTGTTTCGTGTTGACTACCTGGTGGAGGCCATCGGCAACCGAGAGTTCGGGTCCGTGTTCCTCAACCAGCAAGACAACGTGGCCATCGCGGTGGTGACCAACGGCTGGGCCAAAGTGCGTATGGTGTACATGAGTGCGTCGTTGTTGCTGGTGTGATTGGTATGAATGGCGAACAACCCAAATCGCAGAGGCTGAAAGTTCTCTGCTGTCACATACAGTACGAATGACAGTATGTGTATGAGTTGTATGCATATGTATGTGTCCGATCTGTGCGCTACGCGATGGGACCGTGAAACGGTCCCGGTTTGGGTCCCACCCACCACTCCTTGTAACCCCCTTCCTTAACGAATCCCCCCACGAACTCCCCCCGACTACCACTTGTAAATGAATCAAAGGTTCGCGCCATCGGCAAGGAGCAGTCGCCCTACCTGGAGGACCTCAAACGTGCGGAGGAGGCGGCTCAGGCGGCCGGAGTGGGGCTGTGGTGCAAGGACCCGCAGAGGACGTCCCGGGCGGTGAGGGAGACGGTGGGACAGGTAAGCGAGGGAGTGGGAGGTGAGGGGGAGGGGCGTGGGAGAGGGCGTGGGAGAGCCGGGGCCGGGATGGTGAAGCAGGATGCCCGCCAGGTAGGGAGGAAGAGGAGGAGGAGGATGTGTGTCTGTGTGTGTGACGGACGTGTGTACATGTGAGTGTGCTCAGAAGAGGGTATTTAGGGCCTCTGGGAGAAAAGTGTGCGGCAGGTTGATGAAATGCGAGGGACTGGTGTCTTTTTTTTTGAGAAAATACCCATCATAAAAGTGCATGCGGGTGGTTGGTGTATTTTCTTTGTGTACGTGGTATTTGCTGTGTGTTTCATGCATGGCCACTTACCAATTGATTTGATTTGGGTTGGCGATGGATGTCCACTTGGGCAAGCGACAGCACACATGATCAAATGGAGAGGGCAAGTCTGGCGCCAGCAGCCAGAAGGTAATTCCAGCTCCAATAATAGCGTGTATGTACTCAACACACAAATGCACCAAGTGATGCATTACATTACATTGTTATATGTTACATGGCCGCAACGCAGGAGGACGACGCCGCCAGCGCGCTGTTGTCGCGTGTGGGCAAGGGCGGTATGGTGGATGCGGTGGTGGATGCGGTTCTGAGCGGGAGCTCCATGCGCGTGACGCTGCTGCCCACGGGCACCATCTCTCTGCTGGTCAACCTGGCGGGTGTGCAGTGCCCCTCCGTGGGGCGGAAGGTGAGCGTGAGGTGAAGGGAGAGGGGGAGGTGGAGGGAGGGAGGGAGGTGAAGGGAGAGGTGGAGGTGGAGGGAGCGGGGGAGGTGGAGGGAGCGGGGGATGCAAGGAATCAAAACACGGGGATGAGAAAGGAAAGTAAAATCTAGGAGGGATGGCATGTGTGTGTGGGGGGGGGGGGAGAAAAGGAGGATTGCCCTATGAGGTCTGACTGGATTTGGATATTCTGCCACATATCATTGCGTGTCTCCCTCTATAACCTTCTGCCTCTTTGCTCTCAAAACCAATGTCTCTCGCTTCCTCTCTTTCACCTCTCGTCACATATTATATTCTCTCTTCTCGGCCTCACCACCCGGGTGCCGTACAGGCCGT